TTACTAACTAATAACTTTAATAATGAAAACCGGAATCACTTCACACAAAGAAAAATTTAGTTTGAATAAGATTCTCAGCGTTTGTAGAGCTGATTTTTATGAGTTCAACGGCACCAATAATTTGGAATTACTCCACCCCCTAACTGAGTGGGAGGAGCCCAAAGTTGGAAAAATTCGCTCCGTCTGCGATTTTTAGCGCAAAGGCGGGTCAATATTTTTGAAAACGGTTTTCACCAAAAGTTTCCTAATTTTGTTAATTGGGTTTTATTTGGGTTTTAATGGATTTTATTGGGTTTTATTGGGTTTTATTAGGTTTTAGGTAATAACTTACAAAACTAATTAGGAATTTGTATCTATTCGGGAATTATTTTTATTTTATAACACTTGAAATCTGTGATGCTAAAGGATGGAGTCAATTGTTGATTTGTTCCGGATTTTCATATATTAGAATAGTAATGAAATAAACTGCTTTAGAATGAATTGAGAAAACGTCTTCTAACGTATAGGAGATGTATTTAACTTTTAGAATTTAGTTTCAAGGTAAAACTCAATTAAAACCCAATAAAACCCATTAAAACCCAAATAAAACCCACTTAACATGGTAAAACCCAGTGGGTTTTATTCATTTACAACCCATTAAAACCCATTAAAACCCAATAAAACCCAACCCATTAAAACCCAGGTCGGAATACCCTGATTTATTTCAATGAGACGCCCAAATGTATATGAACTTACACCTCAAGGAGTAGTACTATGTGGCCCAGGCAAACTGGTAGTGAAATGAAACGCTGTAGCTACCACAGTTTTTGTGTTACACATTTTGAGTAAATTTTAATGGAAAGCCAGTTAATGTTTGAGTAGAGAACAATTTTTAGTTTTCAAAATTTCCAAATCCTACATTAATGCAGTGCTAAGGAAGCGGACTCGAGACCTAGACTTAAGTGCGCACAGAATCCCTGGATAAATTGCCTCGTAGTCAGTAAGATTTTTCTTAAAGCCTCTATATTTTTATGAGGCTTCGAACACACCTTGGCCTCCAAGTTTTACCATCTTTCATATTCCGGGGATTCAAATCTAAAAAGCAGAATAGAAATTCAAGTCGATCAAGTCGAGTTCGAGTTCACCGTAAATTCAAGTCGAAGCCAGTTCGAATCGAGTTGCACAGTCAATTCGACGAGTTCGAGTATTGATTGATTTGTTTACAATTACGCAATCCATTTCTGGGTTATTGCGCGTCAATGTATTCATGAAATCGATTTGACGAGTAGGAAATAGAAATTGAAGAACTGAATTGGGCGAGTTCGGATTATTGAGGGACTGTACGAATGGATTCGAGTTGACTTGACTGTTTCGAAATTTCACTTTCGATGGAACCCTTTATCAAGCTACACCGGGACACTTCCCAATCGCATGAAGTATTGACTTGAAGAAAATAATTCAAATACAAGTTTTTTCAAAATAACCCTCGCTGGTATTTGTCGATTCCGTGGCTGACTCCTAGAAATTTTCAAAAGATCTTGTCTTGAGGCTGGGAATATGAAAAATCCCAAACATTCGGATCATACATATTTGAAGATTTTACATTAATAAATGACGTTCATCACTTCTGCATCTTTATGGTTTTCATATCTTTATGTGTTACGAGAGATAAGTCATTAAAAAATTACTTACGTTGCTGATAGATACTTTTGTTGATCGATGCGGTTTCTATCGTTTTTTAAAATTCAGTCTCTAATAACCTTCTTGACTGACTATTCGGACACCCTTTCGTTTTAAACGAAAGAAATAATACTTGTAATTTAACTTCTCCCGTGCTTAATAAAATAAGGAGTCAATAAAAATTCTCCTTCTCAATCAATAAATTACTATTTTAAATGTTGCCCTCTCAAATCTATTTCACGATTCAATGTACAATATAATATTTGAAGCATTTTCGGAAACCTATTGAATTGAGCTATCAGAACTCTACGCTTGTTTTAATTAGTTCCAATAGTGAACGTTACTGCGATCCAATCGGTTTGCACAAATTCATGGAACGAACGTTTGTGGAAATTTTGCAATTTACGGAAGCAAAAAGAATTGTGTCAATTTTTTAAGTGAAAATGTAAATGCTGGCGTGTAGGTCCTCACAAGCTTCAGGACCTCTGATTTGTGGTTTTGATAATAGTACGCTTCACAGCGTCGGATATAAATATTTATGTAAAAAGTTTGTAGAAGCATCTTAGGAAGGACTTCACAGTAGTATCCACCTCCTACATATGTAAGTCTAAACCCAACGCAATAAGCCAGTCTTACGACAAATTATGAAGCTCATGCTTCGGGGATGTCTAACGGTGACTCCTCAGCTTAGAGATTTACTTTTGTACCCATTTACACACCAAAGTTCCATGCGTTGGAAACATTCGTAGGACCATTCATTTGTGGCCATAAGTGGCAAGAATGAGTCTAAAAAATTCTGTCGTTAGGAAAATATGGACCACCACGGGTGCATTGTTCCGCACTCTTACATGGCCGTAAATTGAATTTTTAGCCAAGAAATACTACTTTTCACGCTAGTACACTACTAACGTGTTAGTAGTACACTTCGAAAATTTTGTAAGATTTTCCAGGGTTGCCCCTTACTAAGGAAAATCACTTTTTCGATCCAATCCAACTTAGGCCCAATAAAAAAATCATAAAAGCAGAATGGTGGGCCCCATCAAGATTTTGGAAATTTTGGTGAATCGCCTAGACTGGTGGGGTGAAAATATGGTATTTTTCTATTTTATTTCACCTCATCCCCTAAAGGTTGGCTCATTTTTTAAAAATCTCGGTTTCCATTTTTCAAGCGCGTACCGCATGATCAGCGCCCGGGTTCTGATGGGTCTGTTTTTTCTTAGTGAGGCAAATACCTGACAACGAAAAAAATTTGCTAACAATGGAGGCGCAAACCATGTTCAGCCCACATAATTTTTTGACCTTATTGGTTTGAAAGAGCAAGTCTTTACAAACAACATTTGGTTCGGCACTCGGGCAGATGCGCAAATTTCAGCACGTTATGGGCGCCGCAAGGTCGCAAAAACGCACGAAGTTGAGCTCGCGCTGAGAATTGCCCGAAAAATCATGCGTTTTTGCGAACGAGTGCCAAACCGAGTGCCAAACCAAATGTTGTTTGTAAAGACTTGCTCTTTCAAACTAATAATGTCAAAAAATTATCTGGGCTGAACATGGTTTGCGCCTCCATTGTAAGTATGCATTTACCCCACCCAAAAAAAGTGACATAAGTCGATTTCTCGGCCATTTCTCAACGGATTTTTATGAAATTTGGCACAGATCATTGTTAGGTAATTTAGAAACGATGTGCTAGTCAACTTGGCGAATTTTTGATTTTTACCCAAGTTATGTGCCAAAATGCGCAAAAATTGTCCCCTGAAAACATATTTATTTTTATGATTCATAAGTGGTGTATCTCAGCATGCTCGCTTATTGCAAATATTTTAGTCAAAGTCATTCCGGACATTTTAAGCTCAAGATGACCTAAATCGGTTGAGAAATAACGGCGTTATTTAGGTTTGAAAATCAAAAATTTAGTAAAAATATTCAGGGTGCCGATAACAACGGCGGTTGTGCAGTAAAAATAATGTCTTTGACAACCAATTACAAGGTTTAAATAAACAAGACCCCAAAAAATGGGAAATCGTAGTGAGTCAGCGCAATCACAGTTAATAAATAAAATTAGATTGAATAACTTTTGCATCACCGCTCTCGGGATAATTTTTACTGTGTCCACTGTAAATTTAGTTTTGCATACGCATCGACTCTTGCATTCATTAAATTAATTGAGATTACCAGATGACGTTTTTACTATTGAACGACAAGTTGGCTAAATTAATCGATATGAAATATAATTGTGAACTGCGAATTTTAAAGTTAGAAAGAGTTGAAAATCTACAATTTCGATATATAAATTTGGATATCCTATTAGTTCCTATTCTGATGAAATCTCCAGACCCTATGAAGGGGGGGGGGGCAATTATTCTAAACGATTAATTCATGCTTCCAGGAAAAATGATACCGAGAGCGGTGGTGAAAAAATTATTCAATCTAATTTTATTTATTAACTGTGATTGCGCTGACTCACTAAGATTTCCCATTGTTTGGGGTCTTGTTTATACTTGGCGTGTAGTTAGGAAGTGTCTCTCCTCATGTCTTGAAGACATAAGTCTAAGGTTTAGCTTAAGGGTTCGGGACTTAGTCTTACTTGATCCGTTCATTTGCGAGGGAAATTTTCTTCGGGCTCGGCATGAATTTTGGCGCATCCCGTTTTTTCGCGCGTTGGTCAATTTTTGGGACGTTTGAAATCGTTCCCTTCCACTTCTTTTTCGGTTGTCGACACTGACAGTGTCAGTGCATCATTTCATGGTACAGTCGACCACCTTCCAATTAATTCCGATTTTTTTGTTTAGCAATTAGAAAATGTCGATTTTTTTTGTTCGCTCAAATGTTGCTGAAAAATTTAAACACGTCATGTTTGCCTATCTGTCATTTCGGCACCTTGGGTCACAAAAGTTTTTGAAACATGGTTTCTGACTGACAATTGCATGGAGATTTCAATACAAAATAGTAGAACTTTCTAAAAAATTGTCTTGCCTGCTTAATTTACCCGGGAAAACTTATAACACCACTTTTGCGAGTACTAGGTATATGCATATGTCAGCATTGTGGTAAAAGCACGAATTTAGGACGGCGTGCTGTACAGAGGAGGATGTTTTGAATCAGCGTCACCCTGTTCGTACGTTGATGAGGTGCGCATTTATATCGGCAATTAGATTACCCTTTATCAAATTAATAAGAAGAGGGAAGGCCGCCTCTTTCATGTTCAAAATATTTTGATAAAGAGTTGCATATTGTCTAGAGCACGCTTTTTTTAAAAAATGTTAGTCATTTTATGGGACAGAGTGGCCATCATTGTATGTATTTACCTTAATATGATTTTATTTATTTTAGAAATTAGGCGGCAACTTTATTATCCATTCTTGATTTATGTATTATGTTCTTGATCAAATTTACGCGCAAATTTCAAAACATATCTTCAAAAAAAAGTAGCTCATAATTGTGTAAGCTCTTTGTACGTATGTAGGTTCAGTTCTTAAATCTATATTTACATACATATGTAAATAGTTAATCGATTTTTGATACATACATATTCCGTGAGTCAAAGTCGAGCATGTAATCATGCTAATTGAATCAACACGCAGCAGTAATAAGTAATTAATTATTGTGTCCAATATTTGTGAATTTAATCTAGCAGTATGTAACTTTTTCATATTGAGGTTAACTATATAGCTTTTATAACGCAACGATTTTCAATCTTTGTAGTCTAAATTTAAAAAGTCTTCCGGATAAAGAATTAGATTTAATTCGTCATCTTATTATAACTAAATTTCTATTTGTAAAGCATCAAATATTTATCGCTACCGTGTATTTGTTTATAATGTGATTTTTCTGCCCAGAGCATCTGAAGATTTGTTTCTACACAAATACCTGGTAGTCTATCCTTTAAAATTGTTCTTCCGTTTCATGTGACGATTTAGATGAGATTTATAGTTGGTTGTATAGTCGCAAAACTTGCAAGAATGTATCGTTGCTGCAGAACTGTGATAGCTTTTTACGTGAAACGTAAGACTATTCTTGTCTAGATAAGTGCGAGGGCATTCCTGGCAAGGGAAAACTGGTTGACCGGTCGAGTCTTGTTGGTGCGTCCACTGAAATAATATTAAGAAAAAATAAAGTCTTTAAAATCATTCAGAGCGTTACAATTACAGGGTGGTTTAAATGTCAGGTTACAATGGAAAAATTGTCAATAGAAAAAATTCGCAAATCTCCATCAGTTACGGAAAATTTTCCTCTGAAATTCAATATTGAGGGAAACCAAGCCAAAAGTACAACAAACCCCGTTACCATATTCAGCGAGAAAGTGAGAAAAACTCGGATTCTGGTGAGTATCCACCACAATCGTGCGACAGTGCCGTATCACTTTCTCTTTCACACTCCATAAACATAGCATGTACAACAGGATTAATTAAATTTTTGCTTATCAAAATCGTTTAATTTTTGTCATTATTAATTCACATATGCTTTAATTTCGGACGAGAAGTATAAACGAAATTTGCTTATCTGAAAAATTGATAAGCATGAAGATAAGCCCCGTAGCGTTAATTTTCGAGTGGATATCGTCGTTATAAATCCAGAAGAGCTTAAGTTTTAAATTTGGGGCTATTTGAATAGGCGGAATTTGCTTATCTGAAAAATTGATAAGTCCAGCGATAAGCCCCGTGGCATTAAGTTTCTACTGGATATTATTACTATTAATTCTGATAAGCTCAAGTTTTTAATTTTGGGCAATTATATAGTTAAAATATAGCAAATTTTAAGTTCGGTAATTAGTGGCGAGAGTTTGTTACGGCTCCTGCGATATAAGATGGCCCCCACAGCAACTTTGACCCCAGAAATCTCATTGTTCCAGTCATTTTGCTTGGGACAACAAAAGCTGAAAATGTAGCTCTTCTATGGTAAAAAATCTGGCATCAGGTTGTCAGCCGCAAAATGACTGGAACAATGAGTTTTTTAATGATTTATGTGTACGTAAAAAAAGCGCGAATTTTCGAATTTTGAAACTTTTGATGGGTCAAAATGTTCGTATTCATGGGGTAATCCAAATTGCAAATGCAAGTTGAGGTCTAATTCTTTTTTTATCGAGGGTACATTGGCTTTCTCACTTTTCCAAATTATTTACCCCAATTTTTTAAGGGGGAGTGGTTGCATATAATTTAAAAATAGTCATGCCACATTGACCCTTCAACCAAAAGTTAAAGTCGCAATTTTATATATAAAATTCTGTGTGATCGATGTGACGGGGATACTTGCTTTTGGCTCGGCAAGCCTCTATTTTAAGAATTTTGTCATCAGTGTTCCATAAGTTTTGACAAAAATTAATACAAAATTGATTGGGATTTTTAAAAATCTCAATCCCAAATCCATAACTAATAGAAATTTACGATTTTTCCCATTGAAAAAATTTCCATTGTTACCTGACATTTAAACCACCCTGTACATAGGTATGTATGTAAATATATAGATCCTCAGCTTACCCTATGCCTTACAAGGGCGCTGATATCTAAAAAACTCCACCCACACGTGGCACACTTGTTGGTTTTCTCCTTCGTATGAGTGGCAATGTGTTTGTTCAAATTCCCCCTATTTTTAAATTCCTTTGTGCACAAGGTACACCCAAAACGGACGGGATTCTCGGCATGCTCCATTTTCCAGTGCCCGTTAACACTATACTTGCTCGAAAATGTGCTACCGAATCCGGGAAAAGTGCACCGCACTTGTTCTCGTTCCGTCGTATGAGTATTGATATGACGATCTAGACCTGCTCTAGATATCAACTTCCTGCCACAAAAATAGCACTCAAACAGTCTTCTAGAAGCTGGGTCGTGCATCCGCTTAAAATGGGTGGACATGTTGATCTTGTATTGGGTTTTGAATTGGCATGACGGACATGAATATTGTTTCAGGGTGGAATGATAATATTTTGTATGACAGTGGATGCCCGACTTGGATAAAAAGGTCCACGGACACTCAGGACAAGTAAATCTAATCCGAGCAGAATTGTCCAAATGGATCGCCTAACAGAATAAATTTTAGGATTTTTATTAAGGTTCCAATACGACTACTTACGCATATTTTATGCATAAATTTGGTTGGATTTTATGCAGAACAATGTATGCAGAAACAATTTGTGCACAAAATATGTAGAATTATGTACAATTGTGCTAAACCTTTCTGCGGAATATACATACATACATGTTAGAAGTTTTAAGCAGAATCGTGCATACTTTTTCTGCACAAACCATTATTCCTGCCTCTTGTGCAGAATTATGGGAAATTCGACATACGATTTTCACCCTGGCAATAACAAGCTAAACACATTTGGTCGTAAAATTTTTCACTTATTTATTTACATACCTGGTGGTGTAGTCTGAGTACACTCATCGTAACGAAGCTCCTCCCACACGTCCCACATTTGAAAGGTTTCTCCGTCGTATGAGTGCCAAGGTGTTGAGTTAAAGCGCCCTGAAGTTTAAATTTTTTTCCACAAATGGGACAAGCAAATCGAACCGAATTTGCTTCATGCTCCGTTTTAAAGTGCGTCCGTAGACTTGCCTTTGTCATAAATGACTTGCCACAAGCTTCAAATCTGCATGGAATTCTTAATCGTGGGGTCGCGCAATGAGCGGTTTTTATATGTTGTCGTAAATATGGGAGAGAACGGAACTCTTTGTGACAAATGTCACATGGCAAATTTTCCTGATTTCCATGCACGTTTGAAAGATGGCCTGGTAGAGATAAAGTTGTCAATGTTTTGCCGCAAATCTATAAATTTTTAGAACAATATTTATTAAGACAGATCCACTAAGTTATCGGACCGCCCCATTAAACGCGCGCTGAGCAGGAGCAGATTGAAATTAAATTTAGAAAAAAATATTTTTGAATAGACCAAGATATAAGCTTTCCATCGATATATGTCAACAATTATTGAGTCATGGCTAAGACTAGAAAAACTTGGGTTGAAAGGCAAGAGTTGAAAAAAAGAGTGATCGTGTTTCGCAAAAATCGAACAAACTATGATTCTAAAATCACTTGACACTTTTTCAAGCAAGAAGGTATTCCTCATTCAAATGTCAACTCTTACATAGAAAAGTACGAGGAATCCAATGAACTCAAATTCAAAGTCCCCACTAGTCCACCTGCAAAGCTAGCGGCGACAAAAGTCATAAATCGGATGAAAAAAATTTTCAAAAATCATGCATCAACGACAACGGCTGCCACGACAAGGAAGGTCAAGATTTCAAAAAGCTATCTGAGCAAAATCAAAGTCAGTAAACTAGGGATTATAGGCAGGACAAAAAAACCAGCATCAAATTACAAACCAACAAAAAAGGAAAGGATTCATGCGTGCTGCAAGAAATTATGAGAGAAAATTTGGGGAAAAGTGGTCATCACGGACGATGAGCCCCACGTCACAGCTAATCCTTCAAATCTTCCAGGAAGGCATTTTTTCCATAGTTCCAACCCCTGTGAAGTAAAATATGAAGACAAAGTCCAAAAGAAAGACCAATTCCCAAAAAATGAAGAATTTGGCAACGCATGTCTAGCATTGGTCATGTTTCTGATCCCGTCATTTTGGAGGGCACTGTAAACCAGGAGGTTTATCTTAAATCATGAATTAAAGGGGGATTAGAATCGCTTACTTAGTACCAAACATCATAAAAAAATCAAGTTTGGTTTTGGCCTGACCTCCCAAGGTCTCATGACGCCAAAAAGGTCACTCACAACCAAAATCTGAAAAAAATCGAATTTGTACCGAAAAATTAAAACCCACCAAATTTTCCTCAACGGCGACCAATTGAGAAATTCTGGGCGCTAACAACTCCAAACATTCTAAGCTTTCAGAAACGCTAGATACCTTACGAAAATTTAAGAACAGATAGAAGAAAATGAGCTTGAAAGTAGGTGCAGTCGATGGTCGGAATTTGATGCGAAATCTGAAGAAGAAAGTGCAATCTGTAGCACATAGCGGAATTGAATCATTAAAATTGTAACTGTATGGCAATCCAGACTCTTTGGTAATAAACATATGCAATTTTTTTGAAATTACATTAACTGTGTGTAAAGCTCTGAGCATTTTGTTACGTCGGTCCGATAACTTAGTGGATCTGTCTTATTTCGAACTGTTAGTTAGAGTGTAGTCGGATCAATGTTTTTTTTAATTCCAATCCAATTCGACTTGGTCGGATCCTAAAATAATCCGAACCAATCCGAGCCTGTCGAATTCTGATCGGATTAATCCGATTAAATCCGATATGCTATACTGCTCCCTGTAGTGTAGTCGGATTGATGTTTTTTGAAATCCGATCCGATCCAACTTGGTCGGATCCTAAAAAAATACAATCCGATCCGATCCGACTTTATTTGGTCAGAAAAAAATCCAATCAAATCCGACCCTGTCGGGTTCAGACTGGATCGGATTAATCCGGTTTAGTCGGATATCCTACTGATCTTTATAGTGTATTCGGATTTTGAAATCCGATCCGAACCGGCTTGGTAGGATCCTTAAAAAAATCCAGTCCAATCCGACCCTGTCGGATTCGGATTGGATCGGATTAATCCGGGGTAAGTCGGATATCTTACTACTCCCTGCTGTGAGTGCATCAGAGTTGGGTCGGGCCGTAGATTTTGAAAACCCGATCCGTTTTTCGGGTCAAAAATAAAACCAGTTTTATTTTTGAACCGAAAAACGGATCGGGTCAAAAACGGTTTTATTTGTGACCCGAAAAACGGATCGGGTCAAAACGCGTTTTGACCCGATCCGTTTTTTGGATTTTCCAAAAAGCCCGACCCGATCCGATCCGTTTTTTCGACATTAAAAAAAGCCCGATCCGTTTAAAACGGATCGGGCCAAGAATCACCCGAAATAACGGGTATCCGACTCACCTCTGGAGTGCATATGTAACAGCCCGTACTTAATGAGGTTGCCTGGGCCCGCAAGTACTAAAAAAATATGAAAAAAAACACCGCTTCTCCCTCATTTCTCGACCAATGAGACCATTCCGGACAATATGAGTTGGCCATATTTGAATGGGACAACTTTATAAATTGATTAGTATAGTGGTAAAAAAATATACCTCGCATTTTATTTGTCCATCTAGGTCGTGAACGACGACATGTCTCCTTAGATGAGCATTGGTTTTAAAACGTTTCGAGCACTCCCATTTTCTTATTCGATTTATTTCTTCCATTTTATATATTTGAATTTGTTAAGTTCTCACTTGATTATGAAAAGTCTTATTTATTAAAAATCCAAAAAATATCTTTGCACTACGTAGATTTCTGTTAGTATTTATAAATAATTATCTTTACGCCACACGTCACAACTGTAAGTACATATGGCAGCAATTAATTTCCAAAACACATGGCACCTTACATATGTAAATTACAGACAACAGTTATGTACATGTAGATAAGTATAAAGCACTATTTTTTTACGTTTGCTTAATGTAGAGGGTTTGGACATCCAATTGGATGTGAGGTCTTCAACCTTAAGTGGAGGGCTGATTAGGAATCACGAACAAAGTCCTGTCCAGAAAATACATTTTTAAAGTGAAACGTATTCTTTCATCCCTTCAGCAGAGTCATTTACATACGTTATTTAACGCAGTGAAGGTTTTTTGAGTCTAATTTATTTATAGAAAGGTGCATAATTTAGAAAGGGAAGAATAATGCGGGGCGACACATGTACATATTTGTGATGTATGTGCTGCATGCATGAATTAATACTGGTTTTAAACTATTTATGTATGTACTATGTACAAATTAAATGTATGTATTGCGATTTCATGGGAAGAACAATAATAAAAGTATACAAATACAAAAAAAATTGTGTACTTACTGAAACCTGTTACTCTTACAAACATATAATTTTCTACTATATATTCATAGATATGAATTATGTGGTATGTATGTATGTATGTACATACACATGCAAATATGCACAGGCATGTATGTATGTACATACATATGAAACTTTTCCATGTTGAGGGTATCTACACATCGATGTGTATGGATGATTCACATGTTAAGATGGTCGCTGAACATTGTGTATAAATGATTTTATCGTGCCGTGATGTTTCTCATCTGATGCTGGTAAAATTAACACCAACCAGTGACAATTTGCCACTATTCGGGCAAGATTTATCACCACGGGGTGAAAAAAAACATTATCATCAATTGGTGAATTATCCGATGCACGATTCGTCCACGATTAACTCCGTATTTTTTAAGAGTGTGATTATATTTATAACTGCAACTACTGCGAGTGTAAAATGTTGATCATGTAAGATCGACGAGGGAACTGTAAATATGTGCCATATGTACATAAGAATTCACGATTCATTAAAATTACAAATATTAGTGGTTAAAATTCATGCCTCCTTTTGCAAATATGTACAATAATGCTTAAACCTTGGGAAATATTGTTGAAATGAATGGAAAAGGTAAATAAACCGTAGTAACGTTAGAAGTAGCTCACCCTGCAATATAAATTAGGATGTATATCATTTTGCACCAATGGTGCCGAATAAGTGCACACAATAAGTATAAAACTCTATAATTTGATTCTAATGGTGCATTATAATCGGAATATGTAGGTATAGAATTTTGAGATTTTTTGCATCAATAGTGTATCATAAGGCGACAAAATAAGGTTCATAATGATTTAGACATAACTTTGCACCAAACGTGCGGAATACGCCGACAAAATAGATCATAATGTTTAAATATTCATGCATCAAAGGTGCAATATAACCGGAAAAATGATGAAAAGGTCGAATTAGTATGCACCACCTGCGCCGCATTAGCGACCAACCGGCATCCATAAGTTTGAAAACTTTATGTCAAAATGATATGATTATTTCTCCCGGATATTCTGCACTATTGGTCATTTTGTGTCCCTTCCCCCAATTATTTCGCACCATTTTGTGTTACCGATTATTAGACACTAACACTGCTATTAATTTATCAAAAAATACACCCGGTACATTTTAATTAGCATCAATTGAATTCAGGCAGGCAGTGGTGGCCGAGTGGTCATCACACTGTGCTTCAAGCCGAATGGAGGTTCTGGGTTCAATTCCCAGTACTGGCAGAGAGTTTTTTCCCTTGTGGTTTTCCTCTCTGACTTGTTGCACAGGTCTGTGCGGTGTCCATTGCACTACGGGCACCATAGTTAGGAACCTGTGACCATCTATTTCTCACTTATGTGAGGTTTGGTTCACTTGTAATTCCAATGTAATGGCTAAAATTGGGAATCAATAAAGACGACCTTTTTTTTTTTTAATTGATACAAAAAGATCGTTAACAGACAGACGGACGGACAGACGGACGGACGGACAAGAGGAACTCAATAGCTCTCGTGCTACGCAGGGTGAGCTATTATTGCATGGTTCTACACAACTTGTGTAGAAGCATGCAACCATAATTGTTAACTAATGGTGCAAAATAAATGGTGAAAATTGATACATAAGTTAAAGTTTGCACGAATGGTGCAGTAGAAATGGGGAAAATTGGTGGTGGAAAAAAAATTTCGAGGTTTTCGAGGTTACGAATGAAAGCAAAAGACAAACGAATAACATGCCCCATTGATGCGAGTTGCATCGGTTCGCCCATATTATATAACGCACCATTTATCATTCCCGATTGTTCGTTCCTAACGGTTCCAATAATGTCAAAAAAAATTTAGCGGAGCAGATATAATTAGCATCAATTGATGCAAAAAACTCGTGAACAGACAGACAGACGGACAGACAGACGGACAAGAGGAATTCAATAGCTCTCATGCTACGCAGGGCGAGCTAATAAAGTTCAATTATTTGTTTAATTTGCCCATACATAATTTGAATATTATTTATTAATTTGAGAAATTTTAGCGTGCAAAGGTTAGAGATTCGCTATAAATTTTGCAATGTTTATTAGCTCACCCTGCGTAGCATGAGAGCTATTGAATTCCTCCTGTCCGTCTGTCCGTCTGTCCGTCCGAGTGTTCACGAGTTTTTTGCATCAATTGATGCTAATTAATAAGTCCCAAAACCAGTTTAACCCAAATTAGTAGCCCAACCGGTATGCAATAATCTATGTCAAAATTGGCTAACAATTTTTCCCGCTTATTTTCCACCATTGGTGCATAATTCTATCAAACTTGCACATTTAGGTTGTATATTTTGTATGGTACAAAACAATTGGGACAATCGATGCAAAGCGCACCAGAAGTAGAGAATAACTGGCAGTAGTAATTAAATAATCTTGACACCACATTTTCAGGAGAGCGAGCTAAGAGTCGATATTAGGGTAAAATTAGGTATCTATTTTCATCGATTATTTTCCATTATTGGTATTCATTTGTGCCGCAAATATGTACCTCCTTTGTCGGCTTATTCTGCACCCTTCATGCAAAATGAAATCCTAATTTTGCCCACATTGTTCGCTTATTCTGCACCTTTGGTGCAAAGTTATATCCAAATCATTTCAAATGATTTTGAAATCACCCAAACCAGGGTGAGCTACTTCTAACGTTACTACGGTATATTTTCACTAAAAATACATACACTGATGAACAAAATAATAATTTCTAGTGTAAAATTTTGGTATGCCCTGATTACACCTGTCAGATATTTGTAGTAGTAGTTTCATATTTCCCTTTACATTTAAACGTCCCTCTCAGGAGAAGCCCTCCCATCCATTGTCTTTGTAGTTTTTGTCAGTTTGAGTTTTATGAGTGAGCAAGAGAGCCGACATTTTAAGTATTCTAAAGTAATTAAAGTTAAAGTAAAGTTATAATTCCCCTCGGTCATATTTAACTAACTAATAGTGTGATGATATTAATAAATCGTCTAGTTAATTCATTTAACATTGAGGTTTGATTCGTCCTATTAATTCACGCCAGTTAGTTCGGTAATCACTGCCAGTAACACATTTTAAGAATAGAGACTTATCTCGGGTAGAGGTAAGGGTTTCTACATTTTTGGTGACCTCGACGTGATCACTAGAGTGATTACCATCCCAGGCCTTGACCGGAGGAGAGAATATAAGTCTGTGAAAGTGGTTTGCTGAAGCCCAGGGTATGTTCCCAAAGTTCAGCGCTACCAGGTGATATCGGTCCAGTTTTTAAAGTATCTGGATAAGTCTAATAGTTTGTTGTTTGCTGGTTCCTTACAAGATGAGCAGCGAGCAGAAAACTCCAGTTGGTGGGCGCCGTAGCGATCGGATTCGGCAACAACCGGATCGTTATACTCCAGCTTGGAGCAAAGGAGGAAAGAAGGCGACGACTCTACAAGAACAAGAAGAAGTGGACTCCGACGACCAGGACAGAGAAGTTCAGCCGTCGACAAGCCCGAATAAAGAAGGAGCGTCGTTCCTCTCAAGAATGTGGCCGTTTGGAGCAAAGAAGTCCCCAGTTCCGTCCACGTTATCAAGTTACGCTCGGCGAAGGGCGCAAGCGAAGGCCGAGTTACAAAAGAAGATTGCAATTTTGGACAAAGAAGTTATCGACCTGCAAGAGTCAATGCAAATTACTCAGTGTGAGATCGAGTCATTTGAAGAAGAAGTGAAGAGGAAGACGGACATTTGCGAGCCGGCTCATCCCCTCCACAACCCAGAAGAACTTGTTAAGCTGCGCCAAGAAATTGCCAGAAGTAGCTATGAATTGGCTGATAGGAAAAGTAAGGCAAAGTTGGCTAAGATTCGAGCAACAAAGCGAATCGAGGTTATTGCAATAGAAAAGAAGAATTTAGCAGTTGAAGTAGATGTCATCCTTGCAGAGATTGATGAGCAAGAAGAACAACATCTCGGCTCTGATGAAGAATTAAGTGATCCTGAAGAGGAAGAAATGAGAAAATTAAGAAAAGAGTTTCAAGATTGGAAAAGTGAGTGTGGTGTGAGTGCGCCAACCATTAAAGACGGATATTCTCATGCAAAGAGTGAGTTTACTCCTAATCCCACTTCCGCTATGGATTCTATTGTGCAGTCGTTACAAACACAGAATCAAGCACTAATGAAAGTATTAAGCAATAACCAGCCGTCTCAGTCATTAACAGATAAGCTGCTCGTTCGACAGTCGATTGGACGAGATTTGCCGCTTTTCAGTGGAAGACCTGAAGAGTGGCCTTCTTTCATCGCTACATTTAAGAGGACGACTTCATCCTGCGGATTTACGGACGCCGAGAATGTGGAGCGGATCCGGAAGTGCCTGAGAGGAGATGCAGCCAAGAGTGTCGAGTGTCTTCTCGTCTCGCCGCAGTCCCTCCCCAAAGTCCTGCAAATTCTGGCGGATATGTATGTATTTCTAACTTTTTCATTCCCAATCAGATCTTACTAAAACTTCGTATACTCACATCCCATCGAAGCATGATTTCAAAAATTCAGACATGGTTTTCCATATTTTACATATTTTAGAGTTTTCGTACATATACATATTTTCATACATATTTTGAGGTTATTTCGTAAATACACATATTTTCGTACATATTTCGAGCTTTTTTCTAAATAT